AGGAAATTGAAATGAGAATGAGGAATTATTTTTTTGATAAGATGTTTGAAAAAGTAAATGTGAGTTGTGATTAAATGATGGAAATGGTAATGGATCGGTTGATGAAATTTGTGAGTTAGTACCAAAACTATTAATGTTAAGCAGCTGAAAAGGAAAATATGAGATAGTAGAGTCTTGAGAACCTTATTATCATAATTAGAATTGCATGAGGTTGATTGACATTTGCATTACATGCATTGCATTTATAATAGTCATTTGATAAACAAGAATTTTGATTTTGGATTTTAAAATTCAACTTAGTAAAAATTGAGAAATTTTATGAGAAGATGTTGATCCTCAGATGAAGAAAAATTTCCAAGATAAGATTTTGTCCCTCAGATGAAAATTTTTGTTAAGTTGGGATTTTGATTCTTGATTAAAAGAATTTTTTTTTTGTTTAAAAAGATATTTTGAAAAGATTCTAAAGTTCTTAATCCTTTATTTAGAGAAGCTTTTTCTGTTATGAAGTTTTTTTTTATTTGAATCTTTTTTAAATGCGAATCTTTGAATTTTAAATAAATCTCTAAATTTTTTGAATGAAAATCTCTAAATTTTAAATGTGAATATTTGAATTTTTAAAATGTGAATCTTTGAAATTTGAAAATGTGAATCTTAAATTTTTTTTTTTCAAATGTAAACCTTTAAATTTTAGATGGAATTTTTTTTAAAAAAAATTTGAATATAAATATTTGACTTTTGGATTTGAATCTCTAAGATTTGTAAAAAATAAACTTTGATATTTCATTTGTGAACATTTGAAATTATTTATAAATCTTTATGGTTGTGAATTTTCAACTCTTATGAATTTTTAAATCTTACAAATCTTTGAGTTTTTATGAATATTTGAATTCTTGCGAATTTGTGAGATCTTACAAATCTTTATGATTATGAATCTTTGAACTATTGTGAATCTTTAAATCTCGCAAATCTTAGAGTTTTTGTGAATCATTGAATTCTTGAGAATATTTGAATTCTTGCGAATCTTTGAAATCTTATGAATATTTGAATTCTTGTGAATTTTTGAGTTTTTGCAAATCATTGAATTCTTGCGAACCTTTGGATTTTTATGAATCTTAAAAACTTTTGCGAATATTAAAAATTTTTGCAAATCTTCAAACTTTTACAAACCATGAAAATTTTGCAAACCTCTAAACTTTAGATGCGAACCATGAAATTATTGTTATGAATTTTTTAATTTCAAATTGTGAAACTTTTGAATTCCAAAATGCAAAATTTTGAAGTTCAATTGCAAATTTTTTATTTTCAAATTGTGAATCCTTAATTTTTAGCATAATGAAAATTTGAAAGTTTCAAATTTTGAATCTTTATTTCAGATGATAATTTTTTAATTTTTATCAAAATTGGATGTAATAGGTATTTATGTCTTTAGATAGTTTCTGTTTTACATAAAATATGCAAAAAAGGGTAATTGTAGATATCTTATTTTGTCTGGTGCCTAAATCAATTGGGCTCAGTATAATTTCAAGCCCAAATGTTATTTTTTATATCTTTATTTTATTTCATCCTTATTTTTATTTTAATCTTTGTCATTATATTTATCATTATATTTATTTATCTTATTTATTTTTTATTTTTTATTTATCTATTTTTATTTTATTTTATTTCTCAATCATCTTATTCATCTTTACCTATTATTTTATTATTATTATTATTATTATTATTATTATTAGAAAAAGATAATAAAAAAGTAAAAATAAAAAAAAAGAAGGTTCGACTAATGTTAAATGTCATTATTATTATTATTAGTGATAACTCAAATTGGATTTAGGTTAGGATAATTGAAGATAATTTCTAGTTTTAGGATTAACATAGGAAGTTTTTTTATAATGAAGGTTTTTTTAGAGATTTAATCTTTAAGGATCCTATTGTGATCAAGACTCTTTCCCTATAAATAATTAAGCAATTCAACAGAAACGAAGGATGAAGGAGTTACACAAGAATCATAGAAGGGAATTTGAGAATAGAAAAATTTTAGGCAATGGAGTTTAAGCTTGGGAGGCCTTGCTTAGTGTTTTGATTCTAGGTTTGAAAGGTTTTAAGCATGATTTTAGAGAAAATTCATAAATAAACAAGCTTAGGAGATCAAATTTGGAAATTTTCTAGATTTTATTGAATTTTTTGATGAGTTTGCAATTTTTAGCGAAATTTTTTGAAGTAATTTAAATTCCCGGTATGTTATTGATGTGCTCTTTAGGTTTTCAACAACTTTTTTAGATTTCGATAATGAATACGACATAGTTTGAATTTTCCAATGAGATTTCCCAGTTTTTTGTGATAGGTTACAAGCACTGGCGCCGGTGTTTTTATGTTTTTTGAACCTTAGAGATAAATGGGAGAAAACTAATCTAGAAAGAAGGGGAAAGGAAAGTTTGAAAGAAAAAAAATTGTCTTTTATGCAATGAAGAAATGGCACCATCTTAAACTTTAAAAATCCTCGTACGAACCCATGGGTGACTCGACCCACAATACCATGACTCGAAAGCTTGGAGATCCTTCCTTAATTGAGCCATAAAGCAAGTTGCTAGTGTCACGGACCTAAAAAGGAGTCCTAAATTCTACATTGGATATAAAAAGGTCACTGAGGTATAAGTGTTCACACTATCTCTATCTTATGAGACGCCTTTTGTAGGATAAAATCGTGAGACTAGGGGGACCAGAACGGATAATACCTTACAAGGATATGAACTATGAAAGTAGACTGATCTGGGATGCCGAATGAGTAGATGCTCGGGTCTTGGAGTTATGCGGGTCGAAGCTTAAGTCTCGGCCAGAGACAAGTGGTATTAGAGTTAACCCTAACCGCTCGATCTACTCCAAGCACCTCGAGAGAGCTAGGCAGGATGTCCAATCTCTGTGACGAAGGCGTTACAAGATTGGGTGGGGGAGAATGTCACGAACCTAAAGAGGAGTCTTGAATCCCACATTGAATATAAAAGGAAGGTCACTGGGGTATATAAGGGTTTATACAACATTTACCTTGTGATACACCTTTTATAGGATAAAACAGTGAGGTCAAAGGGGGTCAGAACGGATAATACCTTACAAAGGTATGAACCGTGACAGGCAGATTGATTTGAGACGTCGGATGAGTGTATGCCAGGGTCTTAGAGCCTCACGAGCCCGGACCTTAAGTCTCGGCACGTGACATTAGCCGTTTTCATGTCTTGAGCCAAGCTTTCTATCAGTTGAGGCGAGTTGATAAAAAATTAGGTTTTTTTTTTAATTTCTTTTTAAATATTTATTTATTTATTGTTATTAACTTACAAATAATATTAAAAAAATTACAAAAATTAAGTTTTTTTAATTTTTTTTAAATTTTTATTTATTTATTTAAAATTTGTTATTAACTTACAAAAAATATTAAAAAAATAATTTAGAAAATAAAAAATCCTTTACCACTATATTGGCAGGTTTTGAACAAAAATACTTTTGAAAATAAAAAAATCTTATCAATATATTAGAGGGTTTTAAAGTTTTAAAAATAATTTTGGAAGGTTTTGAAATAAAAATAAAAGCAAATTTGGAAAGAATAAAAACATTATCAATATATTGGAGGGTATTATAACTTAAAAATGAATTTGGAAGAATAAATTGACTTTGACAAATAACTTTACTAACATATTGAAATGTTTTTTTATTTTGAAAGTCTAAAATAAATTCTACTACATATTAAAAAAATTTATTGATTTAAAAATTAATACTTTGAAAAAAAATAATATTTATAAATCCTAGCAACATAATGGAGAATTTTTTTTGGATAAAAATCTTATCCCTATATTAAAGATTTTTCGAATAATCAAATAATGTTGATGTACTTTATTTAGTTTTGTCTCATAAAAAAATAATTTTGAATCTCTCGATTATGAAATTATTAGAACATTATAAATAAGAATTTATATGTAAAATTTTAGATGAAAAATTCTTTTTAAATTTTATTGACATAAATTTTCATAGAATTTGATTTTTCATAAATAAAGTTTTTACAAAATATTAATGAATCTTATGGTGCCTTTTATTAACGTATTAGAATAATTTAAAAATAATTTTTAATATTAAAATAGTTAATAAAATTTTTAAAAAATTTTAAATAACACGAAATTAATTGATATTATTTTTTAGATAAATATTGTATAGATATTATATTGTTATGTACATAATTATACTAATGAACCTTATTTGAAATCACAAATTAAAATCTATCCTTTTAATAAATTTGAATCAATTATGAGATATTTCTTAAAAAAAAAAAAAAGAGACGCATTAAGTTAAATTGTTAAGTACACCTAAATTAAAAAGAGAATTTTGATGATAATTCTTAAAATTATGTTTAGCAGCCGAGTGCACGGGTTTATACACTACGATACTCTAAAAACGACAAATTATAGCCACATATTTTTTAATTATTTATTAGTTTACTCTAAATTTAGGATATTTATCAGTTTGTTATCCGTCACTTTCATAAAAAAAAAAAAAAAGAAAAATTATATCACATTTTTTTATTTTTTATTAGTTCACTGTAGGTTGATTGTGTCTAAAAGCTGAGTCATCGTATCGTTTGGTCTTCCAAGAATTATCTTGATAAAATTATTATTCTATATACTATTAGTAGACTTTACAATTAAATTAGATAATTGTTATGTGTTCATTTAATAATTTAGTTATTTATTAAATTTTGTAAATATGTTGGTAATATAATTTTTTACGAGAAGTATCTATTTATATCAATGTAAGTTTACATATTATTTAATTTTTAAATCAAAATGATTAAATGTAGGTATTATAAATTTATTTTAATAAAAAAGAACTATTACTTATATTGATGTAAGTAATTCTTTTTATTTTGTATGTTATCATTTAAACTTATATTTATACAAATATAAACAAAATTTATTAACATTTAATAATCATTTATCTTTCTTAGTTTTCCCTTGAAGTAAAATAAATCCGTCTCCTTCCTTGGATCTCTCTCTTTCTCCCAAGGTTAACGAGTACAAATGAAATACGGTAGGGTTGCTTTCTTTTGTATAATTCAAGATCAAGTGATTCAAATAAGAAATTTTGTCTTTGAGGCTTATAATCTTCAAACGTCTCTCAGTTTGATGTGGAAAAACAGTTTTCTTATCGACGAGTGGCTCTAATTGGCAATTGCTACTGCAACGCGGCGGGAAAAGTCTTCTCTTACTTTTCCACGATGGTAACATTTGGAATAATCCATCAAGACCGCAACGTTCCTGTACACTTTTCAAACATCTAGTACTTCAACATTTCCAGTAAAATGAAAAAGTAATTTTCATTGTCTTGACCATTTATGAGAGTTATGGCCCTTTGGCTTTTAAGGTTTCCATCTATAAATAAAGGGGAATACAAGCTTTCCTCTCTGCACAACGAACACTTAGACTTCATTGAGGAAAAAAAAAATGGCTGAGGGGGCGAGAGCTGCGGTAATGATCATGATGATGGCAATGGCTGCAGCAACCCTTGTATCGGTTGCATCTGCCATTCAAGGAACTGCTACGTTCTATACTCCTCCATATGTCCGTAAGTATATATCCCCAGTCTCTTTGCCTGCATAATTAAAGATATCGTAGTGACCTTTGTTTAGTGCCCATTCAAAAATTTGCATTCAACCAGTAGCAGATGCTATAATAATATTGCAAAATTTGTTAAGCATTGTTTGCATTGGCAGCTTCTTCATGCAATGGATTTCAAAACGATGGAGTTATGATCGCGGCAGCGAGTGATGCTATATGGAACAACAGGGCAGCATGCAATAAAAGGTACAGTGTGAGGTGCACCGGAGCCACCAACCTTGGCGTGCCACAGCCTTGCCGGGGTGGCTCCATTGTCGTAACAGTTGTGGATTACTGTCCTCCAGGGTGCCAGGGAACCATTGACCTTTCTCAAGAGGCTTTTGCCATGATTGCTGACCCTAATGCAGGCAAAATCCAAATCGAGTACAATGAGTAAGTGGGAGAAATTTAGTTAAAATTTCTTAAATTGATCTAAATTTTAATCCATTAATATACAGAAGTAAAAAAAATAAGTTTTTTTTCTTTTTTTTTTTTTATAAAATTGCAGGGTATAAATGGGGACATGAAGACAATGGAACTCCAAGCGACAGGCTGATGATAATTATATCTAAATAAACAGCCGATTTGTAATCTCTGTTGCCTAGCAAATACTCAAATAAGAATATCCAGGAGAATTATTCTGTTCTCGTAATTTAAAGTTAATTCAGACTAGTTAAAGCTAATCTCTTGAACATTAATTTCAACCTAAGATTGAAACATGGTATATACTGGTGATCCTCTAGACACAGTTAATTTATGTGAACCTCTGAATTGGAAAGGACTAGCCAATAAAATTAATCAAAACTATTATATAATTAAAAAGAAGAGTAAAAACTATAATTATAAATAATTAAATAAAATTTCATATACATAAAAAGAATCAAATCAATAACCAACAATTTAATAGACAATTAAACAAAATTCACATACACAAAATAAAACTTAAATATGTGATAATGGGACATTTAATATTTTTTGTATTATAATATCCATCGCTATATCCATTTGCTATAAGAGGATTTAATTGGAATCCTCTCGTTTAGCAATCGCAAAAGCAGGCGCAAAAGTCTTTTTTGACGGCTATGTAACTTGTACCTAGTCGATTAAGCGTCGGACTTAGGTGCACACCAATTCAGTGGAAATTAATTAACAAATAAGTAAATATGTAATGACTTGATAAAGTACTTTGCTTGGCATGAAAAGACCTTTCTCGAGCTGCTTTTGCTAAGATTGTAAACCTTGATTCAGGCAAAATCAGAATTAATTACAGTCGGTATGCACCAAGAATGCTCTCTTTTTTTTCTTTCTTGTATAAAATGTGTTAACGGTGAACGTGTGAAACATTATGACTTCGCGAATGCTTTTTAGTCTTCTGATTTGCAGGGTTTTCAGCGCAAAGGGATAGGCTGATCTGATTAAAGCTATATTTAAATAGCCAACATTCTCTATCAATTAATTAATAAAGTATTATATTTTTAATTATAATAATTTAAATTTAAATTTTGATAATCTCAAATATTAAAAAAAAAAACTATATCTAAATTTTGATTAAAGCTATATTTTTTCTCTGGAATAAAAAATTAAGAATAAAAAATAATCGGGATGTATTTTGTTAAGACAAGTTCATGGTATAGGTTGGTGTTGAGCGGTCCAACAAGTTCAAAAACTTGAAATCACAAGATCGGACATTGGTTAGAAGCAAAGATTGGAGATTTCTCTAGTGTTTGTACTCCAACAATCAAGTCAATGCTCGGAAAGAGAGAGAAAGAGAAAAATCTTAAAAAGAGAAAAAAGGAACTGAATACACCTACTTGGGATGAGTAGGGCTATTTATACCTATAGGATGAAAGTACTAGCCTAGGTGGTCCAAGCTTTGAAAGTCGGGTTTAAGATTGATAATGCTAACTCGACCTGGCAAGTGGAAGTCTAATTGAAAGATGACAAGTCAACATACCCATGTGCTTTTAGTTGAAATGTTGAAATAAACGAATTGATACGGATCCCTAGATTTTAGGTCGGCTTGTCACTTCAGCTCAGGCTGGAATGAATAAAGTACTCTCGCTTTGTTGATGAGTCACATTTTAAAAGAAAAAGTCTATTCTGCCTTTATAACCATAAAATCTTTAAAAGTTTATCCTTTTATCAAATAGTCTGAGGTGTCAGATGATTGAAAGGTCGATTTGGCTGATCTATTGACATCAGAGTCGAGCTAAGCATTGAGCATGGATTTTTTAAGATTATAACGCTTTTGTAGTGTAGTGACAAGGAGATAGTCTTCATGGTAGGTCCAATGTGGTTTTTACCAATTTATTTGCTTAAGTGGCCGTGGTATTCTAACTTGAAGCTTCATTTTGTGTTGCATGTACAATATCATCGATGTGGCACTCGAAATAATTTTTTGAGTAAGTTGGTTGTTGATTTATCTAAATCAGCATTTATTAAAGAAAGAGAAATTTAAGTGGGATTTAAAATTTTGGATAGTTTTTTGAATTTTAACAGAAAAGCTGAATGGTTATCCTTAATTCATACAATGAGACGTGGCTTAATTAGGACCACTTATCCGATTTGGGCTTTGCCTATGTAAAGCATGCTTGAGACCTTTATTTCTTCACACTTTTAGCATTTTCATTACCTTTCTACTCTTGTGTCAATCTATTTTTTCACTAATCATGCAAAGCTTTTTCATTTTTCTTTGTTCAATCTTTTCATTACCTTTGATTTCCTTGGTATGTCTCTTAACTTTTAATATGTCTTCTAGTTCAGAATTATTTAACTTTACGGTAAAAGCCAAGAAAGGTCAGCTTGGCCCAGATAAGGTAGAGGTAAGGAAAGGTTAGATGATGATGTCCATTTTATTATTGCAAGAAGAGACTATAGTCGACCTAACTCATGATTGAATCCAATGTTTGTAAAAGGCAAAAAATAGCTTGGAAAGAATGCACGAGCTTAACCTGAGAGGATTCTCCACGATATGAATTAACTTTTGGCAACAATAGATTTTGACCTCTAAAATCCTCTTATCCAAACCAATATGGTTAGTTTGGCTCTTTCTTCTAACCTTTTCTTACTTGCTTCAACCATTTCCTCCTTAATTCCTCCCCTAAATACTTTTTCTAGCCAAACCCCATTGTTGTTAAACTTTTAATAATTCTTTTTAGTGCCCAAACCATAATAGGTATGCTCTTAGACCTGATTATGGATTATCATCTGATTCTGAGTCTTTTATTTCTAAGTCATCCTGGTCTTCCTTCAATGTCATGTAGGACCCTAGTTTTACACAGGTTTAAGAATTTTTTCAATCTCTAATGGCCAAATGAACTAGAGACAATGCTTTCAAAACTGAGTAGGTTTAGGGATCTAGGCAGGCTGATAGGTCTGACCAAGTTGAGAAGGGGTTAAAGGTGATGATGATGAAGCAAAAGGTTCTAACATCGTCGTTGATACGTTTAAACCTTTCTACACTCCCCATGTGTTAGGCACAAAGTAACTATGCTCAAGTCTAAAGATATGGTGATCGATTTAATAGAATATGATAATTTATACGTTTACTGGGACTTCATCTTGGTCTATCTTAGGTTTTCTTTTCATTTTTTATTGTTTAACTTCTATATGTTATAATTTAACAATCACTCAACTCGCCTCCAATTCTTTTAGGCATATAGTAGGTTTAATTATTCTTTGTAAAAAGTTAGATCTTGTTTTTTTATAAAACTCTTCAGGGAATTTGTTGCCATTAAAAAACATCCTTATGATAAGAGCTGGTATTATGTTACAGCTTGTTTCTCTAGAAGAATTTTTGTCAATTAGCCGAGCTCAATAAAAACTTGAAAATCGAGCTTATGTCTAGATGATCAAAAGTGTTTAGAAAATAAATAATTTATTAACCTTATTTGAAGATGCTAATACAGGACCTTTGACCAATGATGAGCTCGGGGCTTGAGATACAATAAATGATTTCTTTGAAAATGGGAAACTAGTGATAAATGTAAATGAACTTACCTCTCTTGGTGTCTTTAAGAAGGTTGGATATTAGATAATCTTCTTACCATAACTATTTTTTAGTTTAAATATCTTCTAACTCTCAAGTTAGTTTTTTCAATTAAAGATATGGCTAGTCAAAAGAAATCGAGTTTTGACATGACCATGTTTACTTAGCTTTTTAAGGGAAAAGAGAGAAAAAAGGATCTTTCTCAGCTCGATGGTCCATATCATAGCATTAAAATCATGAACCCACCTCTTTAGTATTTTTAGACCAATGGTAAAAGTCTTGTAGCAATGTAGAAACTAAAATAAAAAGTGGTCGTGTAAAAGCCTTAAAAGAAGCCAAGAATTCAATCTTTATCTTTTGATGCTACATTTGAGGTTTAACTTTTTTCGAGCAAATACTCTGTGACCTTGGAGTTCAATGTGAAAAAAGAGCTTTCATAAAAAGGGTAAGTTGCAGATTTTTTTTTTTTTTTTAAGTTCAAAAATTTTACAAAGCCTAAGTTCAACTTTTTTTTTGTCCTATAGATTATGATCAGCTTCTTTAATCTACCTTTTAAAATATAGGTCCGACCTTAGTGCATACTTATAAGACTTTTGTTTACCTCTACAAGGTTAAGAAGGATTTGAAAATATATACAAAAGATATTAACTCAGTTATAGAGAGCATAAAAAAGATCAAGATCTCCAACGTTGAGTATAAAAAGACAAACAATGAACTTGACAAGATGGTTGAGAGCTCATCCTATCAAATAAAAGAAATGTCCATCCACAAAGCCACAATTGAGTCTTTTCATCAGTGGCTCGATCTCAAACTGATTATAGCTCTAGCTAAAGCATAATGTATGAAAAATGAACTTCAAGCTTCCAAAAAAACTAAGCAATGAGCTGTGGAGAACTTCTTTCAATCCGTAACTTCTACAATATGTAGACAAACTTTGCTTGATAATAGGTGGTTGGCCTTTTTTACTTAGTGTTGAAAGAGGTAAACTTCATATATGCCAGCCTCAATTTTTCTATGATCGACATCAACAACTTAAAAACCTAACAAGCTACTGTCGAGGAAGATGACCAAGCTAATGAGTAGCAGCAACTGGATAAAGACAATATGGAGATTGATCAAGTTGCTATTATGGCTGGAGCTGACCAGAATGAGGGGTAAGCTATTGAAAATCTTGAAACTTAGATCGATGAGCCTAAGGTACCTACTATTGAAGCCTAGCTTGAAGATACAGTCTGACCTATCCCTTAGGCAAATTTTTAGGATTTATTTATGTTTATATATATTTTTTAAATCATGTAATTATTCATTATTATTAATGAAATTTAGTTTTTATTCTCCATTTACATCTTTGAGCTTGATGTTACTTGATTTAATATAACCATTTAGCTCAGTATGCAAGAATGATATTATTGTGGCTTTGTATGATCTTTTCTTAAATTTTAATTAAGGATTAGGTTAGTTTCATCTTTAAGTTAGGTAGAGAGTTTTGTAAGGATTTTCAATGGACATTCATGGATGAATTTATTCAACTTTGAACTTTATTTACCTTGGATATTGAATTTACAATCTTGCAGATAAGAAACTCATAAATTAGCTCAATCGTATAGCCTTTATTGATAGTAGATCTTAAATTATCCACATTTCACTTCCTCGAGTTGGGATTTTTATTCAATCTAAGTTGGGCAATTTCTTTAGCAATATATGATCATTCCCAATTTGGTGTCAATTTTTCTTTTCAACTATCAATACTTGAAACTTCAACTTTTCTAAGTACTAGGTTGCCTTTATGTCTCTCTTTCGATTGAACCTTCTTATTATAATA